ACTTTTACTTATTTTTAATTCCCGACGTTTCGGGTGCTTTACAGCAACCATGGTCACGGGGGGGACTGAGATGTGACCCGTGACCATGGTTGCTGTAAAGCACCCGAAACGTCGGGAATTAAAAATAAGTAAAAGTAGTGAAATAAACGCGATAAAATCCGTAAATTTAGTTTTATTCAATGTGTAGTGTTCGCGTAAATTTAAGAAATCATTAAATGAAGCAAGTAATTATAATTTATTTATTTATTAATATACTTTATTGAACCTTACATTAGTACAGCATCAAAAAAGCGGACATAATGCTAAAAGCATTCTCTGCCAGTCAACCTTAGGGATGTAATAGAACTACAAAGGCGGTAACAAAAAATTAATTAAAAATATTCACAAATATAAATAAAAATTAATTAATATCTCATATTTAATATTCATTAAAATAAAAATTAATTTATTTAAAATGTTTTATTATAAACGTTTGCCTGTTAAAATATTTTCATGACTATTGGCGGAAAACCCATCCACAAAATGTCGAACACAAATTCCACACAGACTAGTGATTTAAACGATTGTGTGTATTGTGTATTGTTTTATGTTTATATTCTATTAAGTTAAATATTTATACGTTTTATTTTTCACGTATATTTTAATAAAAGATAGAAAGTTTAATAACAGGCTTTAAATAAATCCAACTAAGTCCTTAGTGGTGACAACGCTTCTGTAGCTTGCTTTGTTTGAAGTCGATTGCAGATGTCCGTGTGCCGTCTAAGTTAATATTTTTATAAAGCTTAAGTGAGAAACGAACTTACAATCCATCTGAAGTGGTTACTGCAGGACATGACCAGCTGCAGCCTACACCAAACAAACCAAAGAAGAAAAAAGAAGGCCTATAATTATACTGTTACTCTTTATTTCCTTCACACTAAAACACTGAGGTGTTAGGACTGTTGTTTGACGGAAAAATTAGGTAAGAGGGTAATATCTACCAAAACGGACACCTATGAAATTAAATAAAAATGGTCCTTCCACATATTTACATCAAAAAATATTGCCTACTTTAGAAAAATAAAAAATAAATATAAAACATTAACATTAGTGCCAAAAATTAGCCTTCAGCTTATAGTTACATCGTTTACTTTTAACATTTTTTAAACACAAACAGCCTTTACTTACTTTTAATACGTATTTAAATGAACAGCATTATCTAGGTGATATGCCCATAAGCAAACCGGCCTACCAAGCAGGCTAGGTGAATTTGGCCTTTGTTATGTGGTATTGTAATTATTTACCTTTACTAAAGTATTAGATCGATGTTCATCCTTATTCTGAGAATTTAGTGTTGTAAGCCATTTGGCTTTTACAACTTCATCTAAATGGAGACGTTCAGGATCGCTATTTAAATTTGTAATAATTCTCACGTCAAATCAACTGCGAGTATATTATATTACAGAGAGACGGTGCCGTCTATTATGGCTGCAGCACGAATGTGTCGACTCGAGACTGGGTAAGCACCACGCTCGTACAGAATACCAGCGTAAAATAGCGGTATAATTCTGCAGTGTTTCGTATGTTAAGTCAAAGGAATATCATAATATTTAGGGGCGACAAATGCATTTTCATTCTTAATCGAGGATAGAATTTGTCTGTGGGCCACAGAACACCCATCAGTTGGACTGTGTGCTAGTTTGTCATACTTACTTCTATAGAAAACAACACAATTTAATTAACTGGCAATTTTTCTTTAGTGACAAATGTTCCTGAAATATGGGAAAAAATTGTGCGATATCATATCCCTACGGACGTGTCCTAAATTTAATATTACACGTGTCAAAGTGAAATATAACCATCCGTAAATTAAAAATATACCTACCGGATATGGTTAAATTGTAAAGATATGTATTTATTATTGGAACAAAAAGTATTAATGTCAGTGATGGTTAAGTGATCAAGTGATCAAAGTGCCCAGGAGCTATGGTCCTGGATTCTAATCTTAGCCTGAGCGAGGATTTTTGTCATTTATATCATGTTGTGACTGTTTCCTGTCCCCTCTACATCCTAATCACTTCCTTAGTTAATGTACTCGTTTGTACCTTACATCAATTGAGTAGACAAATAAGGACTGCTTCAATAAAGTTTGCGATAAAACTGAAAGAAAATGGGTCATAATCACTGAGTATGCCAAAGGTATACATGAGAACAGGCATGAACTAGCCGTTATATGCGTATGTCTTATTCACACCAGACAAAAGGCTGTTAAGCACTTTGTTCAAGCGTGCATAAAATACGTCGCAAACTGACTGTTTCATACCAGCCGATGTTCTGTGACATATTATTATTATTGGGGTATCTATATAGTTTTCTCATCTGGTTGGGTTCCATAAATATATAATTGCGAACGAAAATGATAAGTATTCAAAAATAATAATAAAATAAATACATATTTAAAATAAATAAATATAAATACATTATTGTTATTGGGGTATCAATATAGTTTTCTCATCTGGTGGGGTTTTATAAATATATAATTATAAATGAAAATGAAAAGATAAATATACATAAATATCAATAACATAAAATAAATATAAAAATACATAAATAAAAGCCCAACCAGATAGAGGAACTCGGCAGGGGAGACTAAACGGCCGAGGGTTAGGGGGAAAGGGAAAGAAACCGGCAGACGACGCGGGCGGTATCGAGGAGCACCGCCTTCTACATTTGAGCCTGGAGCGGTCCGCCACGTAGTCCCAGCCGCCTCAGATGACCCGAGAGGCTGACTGGGATTAGTCCGTTTGCAGAGACGACTACAAGAATAATTTCAGTCGGCAGATCACCCCACATGTCGGTCACCTCGTGGACTAGGTCCAGATATATTGTTTGCTTATCTGTTTCGGCTTTCACGAGGATCTCGTCATACGGAATGGTAATGTTATAGTTTTCGACCAAAAATATCCTCGAATGTGCCCGGTCCATCAGCACAATATCAGGCTCATTCGCAAGAATAGTCCTGTCTGTGATGATGGCCCGGTCTTAGTAGAGCCTGGCGTAGTCGTTTTCGACCACGGCTTCCGGCAAGTACTTGTAATACGGCAATTTCCGATCCACGAGACCGTATTTCAGAGTGAGCTCTTGGTGAACAATTCTGGTTACTAGGTTGTGCCTGTGCAAGTACTCAAAGTTAGAAAACGCCGAACAACCGGAGATGACATGCCTAAGTTACTCACCGGGATGGCGACAAGCTCGACAGATGTCGACGGTGCCATCCTTTAGGATGTATCTCCGATAGTTGTTGGTCTTAATAACCTGATCCTGTATTGCACAGACAAAACCCTCGTTTCCCCGAAGAGATCACCAAAGCGTAGCCAGTGGAGGGAGGTTACTGTGCCTACGAAAGGCTCACGTAGAGCCTTGTAGAATCTCCCTTGAAGCTCTTTCTCCTTCCATACGGACTCCCGGTCGGAAATGCTCTGCACTGCCGGGTCTTCCCATTGCTCGTTGGCTAAGGATAGAGGGGTAAGTCCTTTATCACAAGAAATGACGTCCATATAGAATGGATCATGCGATTTCGCCAGAAAGTAATTACGGAGGCTGCATACTTCGCGATTATGCATAGTGAGCGCGCTCAAGAAGCCACGCCCACCATGCTTTCGCGGCAAGTACAGCCTCATTACCGATGATCTCGGATGATGCATCCTATGGGACGTCATGGTAGTGCGGACTCTTCTATCCAGGGCGTTAAGTTCAGTCTGAGTCCACCTGAGTATGCCAAAGGTATACATGAGGACAAGCATGACCCAGCCGTTATATGCGTGTGCCTTATTCACACCGGACAAAAGACTGTTAAGCACTTTGGTCAAGCGTGCATAAAACACGTCGCAAACTGACTGTTTCATACCAGCCTCATCGATACCGATGTTCTGAGACATACCACCAGGTATCGGTATGTTTCAGCCTCGGAAAGGGTTCTTAAGTTGACGGGCATAGATAAGTCTATGTCCTCAGAGTTAGCAACCCTTCCCCTTTCAACATGGAGGACCGCACACTTATCCATCCCCAGCTCCATTCCAATGGAATTCCTAAATTCACAAGTGATGTGTAGCAATTCCATAAGATGGGAGCAACTGGAGGCGAATAACTTGAGGTCACCCATATAGAAAATGTGGGTCACTTTTGTCCCTCTTTTCTGTAGCTGAAATCCCCTCCCGGAGCCCTCCAGTAAGGTACTGAGAAGGTTCAGAGAGAGGCAGAACCAGATTGAACTCAGACAATCGCCCTGGAAGATACCCCTTCTTACCCTTATGTGGTTCTCCGCAGCCATCATCCGCTCGCCCAGATGACAAAGGATCGTACTTCACTGCCTCATATACTGCTCAATGAAGTCTCTAACTGTAAAGTCTATCTTGTACAGCTCGAGGACTCTCTTTAGCCATGTATGGGGCACCGAGTCGAATGCCTTTCTGTAGTCTATCCAGGCGGCGGAGAAGTTCCGACGGTTGCGTTTCACCACTTTGCCAATGACCGGGTCAATGAGGAGTAGTTTCTTGATTCCACGACCACCGCCCCGACATCCATTTTGAGCGCGCGACATCACCTGATTTGATTCCAGGTGACAAGTGATTCTCGCGCTCAAAATGGATGTTAGTATCTTGTATATGGTCGGTAGACACGTGATGGGGCGGTATTTTCTCGGGTCTGTAGTACCCTGGTCTTTAGGAACCAAATGGGTGATCCCAGTAGTGAAGAGGCTTGGGAGCGACTTCTGGTTGAGAGCCTCTTGAAACTGTCGGGCGAGCACAGTGTGACACACCACGAACCCCTTCATCCAGTAGTGATGCAGCCCGTCGAGTCCCGAACTTTTCCAGTTCGGGGCCCTACGAACCGCCTCAGCTACGTCATCCGGTGTTATAATGACGGGGTCCATGGGCGTTACACTCGCACACTGACTCGCCACAACTTCCGTCCAAGGGTCCTCGCTGTGGTTTACTGCTTCGGTGCTGGGCGCGTTCCACTTACCATTGGTCGCTCCAATGATTCATAGGGCCTCTTCTGATCACTCTGGAAGAGACAAATCCGGTTGAACCGTGTCTACCTCTCGGTATATCGCCGAATCCGCTTGCCAGCGCGGCGCCAAAAAGTATTGAGTCCGTCTCACAAAGGCTCCGGCTGGCTTCCAAAGCATCACCAGCATTAGGTTCAGAGCCCTCACGACAGCCGGATTCCGCTTGCTTAGGGCTATGCGGGGAAGTCGCGGTCGATTTTCGAGTACTGCGCGTTTCTACAATCGCCTCTTCTAATGTACTCCTCATATGCTCTAATTCCAGTTCCTGGGCGACTCTTCCATCATCGTTTGATTCAACCACAACTGGGGTATTCACGGCGGCATCCACGTTTGCGGGTTGCTGTACAATTTGTGGCGCCGCATCCTCAGCCGTAGCATTTTCATCCGATGAAGGAACAGCCTCACGTCGTAGCCGTTCGAGTTCGGCGATATCAAATATATTTGAGCGCAAGATATACCGAACTCGTTCTGCCAAGTTTTGCTCTGTGACGGTTAAAGATGGCTCCAGCTCAGCAAAAAGACGATGCATCCTAGCCCGATACGCCAAACATCCAGTTTCTTCCCCTTTTGCCCTAAAGTACGCCCGCAGTGCGTTTGCGTTCATTGCTTGTGACCAACGCATGCGACGTACTCCACCGGCGGCGGGTGCCGCTTGCTGATTCCGAGAAGACCCAACCGACACCAAACCTCCTGGTGGGGATGATGGATGCGGAGGGCTGCTAGGTGATCGTGCAGCTCCTCGCGCTCGACTGGCGGCACGCATGCTGTCGCGTCCAGCGGTAGCTCCAGACGTGCCCTGGCGACCTACAGGCAGCGGCCCTTTGCGCGTTCTATTTAATTCCATCATCCTTATTATTATAGATGATTACAATTTATTATTATTATTACTATAAACACGTTTTATATAGATATGATGGAATCTCCATATTTATCAAAATTGGTATCCGCTTAATTACATTGGCCATCCTTTAGATTATCAACTAACTCGAAGGGTGACGAATAAGAGACGCCGGTTATAACTTTTATTAATAAAAAGCACAAAACGACTTCCAAATAACTAAAAAAAATAAAATCATTTTCGCATTTTGTGGTCGGAGCTTTAATTTTTTTATACTCTCTGAGCGTCGACTTCAGAATGTGAAATAATTTTATTGTATTTACGTATTTGATATCGGCTTTTAATTATATAAAATATATTACGTAAAAGTGAAACTTATATGAAATAATTTTACATTTTTAGTTTCATTATTCTGTTTGACTTTTAACCACACGTTACATGCATTAAAGTAATATAGCTCAATTTTTACAAACATTTGTATTGTTGTCTCATTAGCGTTGCGTCGCTTCCTATTAGCTTTATAAAGTAAGTACGTCATTATACAGCCGTTTATAAAAAGTATCTGTTGTGCCCATTGTTAACATTGTTTTAGCCGGTAGGCAGCATAAAAGAGGAAGAGAAAAAAGTTCTCGAAAAGTTTTTTGAAGTAATAAAAATGCAACAACGTCTACCACTCATTATTGTTTTCTTATAAGGATGCTTCACATATGTCTGGGCTATTTTAGTATTCAAAAATTTATGCTGATATTATTTGTTTGTAACTGCTTTGTACGTACGTAAGTCTCCCAGATATAGAATTTTATTAAAATAAGGCAGTATACTCATACTAACTTATCAAACAACTTTTACATATTATTTACACTACAAATACCTAGCTAGCTTGTATGCCTGTTCGGGTAGTTAGTTTATTATTTCTCCCACCCTTTTTCAATAAAGATATCTAGCATGATAAGCGAATCTAATAACGGAATTCGCACCATGTAGAAGCTTCTACTTGCTAAAACACTGCCATTAGTAAGTGGGTCAGGTACAAGCGCTGAAGCTTTTATTCCTCCTGGACTGCGACAAATTTTATTTAGTTCTATATATTACGTTATTTTAAGTTCTTAATATAAATCATTCTTAAATAAATACGATTAAATCTTACGTTGAGAACATTCACAAAGTAGACTGAGGTCATTCGACATTATTGTAAATAGTTGACCGTTTAGTGGCGGTAAAATAATATCCACTACCCAATATCGTTTAGTGAGTATCGTAAAGAGATGACAGTGCTACGACCATAAAATCAAAAGAAAAACCACGCAGTTAGTGTTTATTGATATTAAGTTGCCTTATTCTTTGTCTGATATATTATCATTGTAAAATTTTCACATCACCTCACCAAATAAACAGTTAGAGCTTTGGAAGCTCGGAAGCTAATCGCTCGCTGTAAATTTCAGGGTAGTAGTTAGTTTGTACCAGTTCTACAAACCAGTCCTCGTCAGCTGATGGTGGATCAATGGATACTTTAAAAGGTAAGGTACTTAGAACTTTAGACGTGTGTAATGTTTCACTTTATCCATCCGTTTACTGATATTGTGGCAGTACCAAGTGGATGAGTGAAGTCAGATTTTGTAACAAATTTCATAAAATCAGTTACATAAATACGTAATTATGATTTTTTTCAGATCACGTGATGCTTTGATGAAATGCAACCTTTATATAATTTACCAAATGGTAACTATCATCAAGATATCATGGAAGACGGCTTTCGTCCACCCGATCCCTAAAAAAGGTGATCGCTCAGACCCGTCCAACTACCGGCCTATCGCCATCACCTCCTTGTTCTCCAAAACAATGGAGTCCATTGTAAACTGCCAGTTCATATACTGAGGATCACCAACTGATTAGTGACCGCCAATACGGTTTTCGCCGTGGTCGGTCAGCTGGTGATCTTCTGGTCTACCTAACTCACAGATGGGCGGAGGCAGTAGAGTCCAAAGGGGAGGCATTGGCCGTTAGTTTGGACATTGCGAAGGCCTTCGATCGGGTTTGGCACAAAGCGCTTCTTTGGAAGCTCTCATCCTATGGGCTTCCCGAGAAATTGTGCGATTGGATCACCAGCTTTCTTGCAGATCGGGGCATCAAGGTCGTTGAAGTCGGTGCAAGCTCCGATTGCATGCTGATGTTCCACAAGGCTTCGTGCTATCGCCAACGCTGTTTCTTCTGCATATCAGTGATATGTTGCAAACTCGTAACATTCATTGATATGCAGATGACAGCACTGGTGATGCTCTTTACACCGGCCGAGCCAATATTTCTCGGGAAAACGTCTCCGAGTGCCGGGACAAACTTGTGTCTGAAGTCGAGTCTTTGCTGAACAGAGTCTCGGATTGGAGGCGACTAAATCTAGTCCAGTTTAACCCCCAGAAGACACAAGTTTGCGCGTTAACCGCTAAAAAGAACCCCTTTGTCGTATCTCCTCAGTTTCAAGGCACTCCTCTTGTTGCCTCAGCTAGTATCGCAATCCTCGGCGTCGACATATCGAGTGACGTGCAGTTTCGTGGTCACTTGGAAGAGAAGGCCAAATTGGCCTCTAAGTAGCTTGGCGAGCTCAGCAGAGCGGGACAGTATTTCATGCCGGCACACCACCTGCAACTTTACAAGGCGCAGGTTCGGCCGCACATGGAATACTGTTCCCATCTCTGGGCTGGGGCTCCCCAGTACCAGCTCCTTCCACTTGACCGCATCCAGCGCAGAGCGGCTCGAATCGTCGACGACCGAGTGCTTTCTGATCGGCTCGATTCACTGGCACTGCGAAGAGATGTTGCATCTCTTTGCATTTTCTTTCGCATATACCATGGAGAGTGCTCTGAGGAATTGTTCGGATTAATCACAGCCGCCAAATTTCGTGAACGCACTACGCGGCAAACGTCCCGATACTATTCACACCATCTGCATGCTTGGCGGTCCACCACTGTACGTTTCAAGAGGAGTTTTCTTCCGCGTACACCCTCTCTGTGGAATAGTTTACCACCACCAATACGACCTGGGGACCTTCAAGAAAAGAGCGTACTCCTTTCTAAAGAGCCGGCAACGCACCTGCAATTCCCCTGGTATTTCGGTTGATCATGGGCGGCGGTAGTCACTTAACATCAGGTGAGCCGCATGCTCGTTTGCCCCCTCTTCTATAAAAAAAAGATATCCCAAATCTTAATATGTTTGATGGTGAAAACCCACATCTTGTTGTTATTGATGATCTAACGAGAGAGTCTGATAGAATAATTGTGTATATATTTACAAAAGATAGTCATCACAAGAATATTAGTGTATTTTATTTAACACAAAATTTATTTCATCGGGGTAAAAGTCAAAGAGACATTTCCTTAACCTCAAGTTATATAATATATTTTAAAAACTCTCGAGATAAAACTGAAATAAGATATTAAGCCCGAAAAGTGTCACCAGGTAACCCAAAATTCATTGAAAATGCCTACAGGGATGCAACTCTAGATGCACATGGATATTTAATGGTAGATTTTAAACATTTTTGTCGTATCAAGACAAGTGTCTTCCCTTTAATGGTTTCTGTACAGTCTACGTCCCCACAAAATTGTGTAAATACGCCAAGAATCAAACAATTCAAATCATTTCTAAATGATGCATCGTCGACTCACACCCCATAAACATTTGTTAAACACTTTTCGTACGCTTAAACCAAAATATCAAAGAGCATTACTTAAAACGGTGTGATGAAGAAGAAATAAATTGTATTTGTGAATGTATTCATAACATTTTACAAGGAAAGGAAAGGAAATTTACCTCATAAAGATCAAGATAAACAAAAATTGACTAAACACTCCGTAAACTGGTTCGTAAGTGTAAACACGTGTAAGTGTAAGTGTAAAGTGTATAAACTAAGAAAAAATTTAAATTTATCTCACGGGAGTATGGGGATATGGGGCACTGGATATTCTTACACCGCCACTACACAATGTGTCAGTAAATGCGCCTTATATGTGGTTCTTTAAACACAAAGCATCTATAAAATGTATTACTAAGCAATATAAGAAAATAATTTTCTTGGAAGTTTAATGAAAACCTAAAGGGGAACGGTTTTAATAAACATACAAGCACATTATAGTTATAAAATACATCACAATATTAAAATGTTTTTAGGTTAAAAGGTATACTATGTATATAGTTAAGTGATCTTAAATTACGGCTGAATTTTTAATTAAGCTACATATTTCATTTAATTTAGACAGATTTCATACCCATCACAATAATTGTCTTTAACATTTGAGTTATTGTCAACAAGAGAGCAGTTTGTTTCCAGATGTTCCTGCAATAAATTTGATAACTTTATTTATGGCTAGTAATAAAATATGTATCTAGAGTCAGGAATCTGGGACTTCAATATAGGCATTTTTAGTATTACTTATATAATGGGATATATAATATAGACATTTTAGTATTACTTTTAAAGATCGTTAAACATATTTTAAATAACTATTTAACAAACACCTATTAAAGTCTAACATTTATCGTTAATAAATAATATTATTGTTACTTCACTTATAAACATTATTTATGATTATGGTGTCATTTGGTAAACATGGTAAAAATATTTCACAAAATGAACGATCACTAAGTAATCTTTGCAGTTAGTAATATCGATAGTAAACTATGTCATATTTAAATTAGTTTATAAATTAATGTTCGTAAATCATTATAATTCACCCCAATCTGCGCGGGCATATTGCGAAGTTGATTTTAAATAAATGCCTAAAAAGTTAAAAGAGACTTTATTTAAAAAAATATTTTTATAAACACCTATGAAGGTCTAAAGAAAAATGATTCACTAAGAAGTTTTAAATTTGATAATACTGCAGGGTTATCTGTTCAGGGTGAAAGTAATTAATAAAAAGAGCAAAAATTATTAAAAGTGCTTGCAGATCATACTGTAAGTAATGTAAATCTTATCTTAAAAAAAAAACTGCTGAACAAATATAAGAATGAGA